TTGACAAGGCTTGCAATATCTTTAATATACCTTTCTCGTTGAATCCTGGAAAATACCTCGGCTTTCCAACTATCTAGGGTTGGTCAAAGAAGGAAGTGCTGGGGTTTGTCAAGGATAGGTTTGTTCAGAAAGTTCAAAGTTGGAAGCATGCCTCTCTTTCTCTCTCTTTGCTGATGAGGATGCCCATAACGTTTCCAAGGGTTCACATGCTTCGTGGGCTTGGAGCAGCTTGCTTCATGGTAGGGATTTAATTGTTTATGGAGCCTGCTGGCAAGTTGGTAATGGGAAAATGGTAAATATATGGCAAGATAAGTGGCTTACTTCCCTTAGGGATGGGCTGCTTCATCCTACTCAACCGATTTTTCCCATTACCTTATCTTTGGCTCGGGAGCTTATCAACATTAATTGTGGAGCTTGGAATCTCGATCCTATTAGATCCCTCATTTAGGCTGAGGAAATAGTGCATCCCTTTGGGGGATCTATCTTCTTGTGATCGCCTTATTTGGCATTGGACGGAGATTGGGTAGTACTCAGTCAAATCAGGCTATGCCTTGAGACATTCTATCCAAGAGGATCCTCTTTCCTCTCAAGGTAAGGCTCATCAATCACACTATACTCACCCTAATTTTTGGAAGACCATTTAGGGCCCCAATGTCTTGCTAAAGATCAAGTTTTTCTTATGGAGAATTGCAAACAATTGCCTTCCAACAATGTCGGGGCTCTTTCAATGCCGAGCTTAAGATAGTCCAATGTCTCATTTCTGCTTGGATTTCTCTGAAACTCTAGTCATTATATCTGCTTCTGCCTTTGGACCGCAGTGGTTTGGTTTGTGCCCCATTTCAGCTATAAAATTGATGTTCAAGCTATCTCCTCATTCGACCGTTGGTTCCTAGCCTTGTCTACTTTCTTTAATAGTGTTACTACAGATCGTGACCGCTTCTACTCCTTGGTTACTTTCATATGTTAGGAAATTTGGAAGACAAGACGTCATGCCAGCTTTAACGGCTCTTTCTCGTCTCCTGCTTTTACTGTTCATATGGCACTTTCAACGATGAAGGATTTTTAGTCTGCTATCCCTTTTTTAGTGCCCTCGGATCTTCCAGGTTTATCTTCGCCCTTTTCTACCTGGATTCCTCATTTTAGTCCCATGCTAAAATTTAATCGTGATACCTCCAGGTCGAAAGAGTCAGGCTCTGTCGGTTTTGGTTCGTGAACTGTGATGCCTCTGGCTCTTTAGTGGCTGGGAATAGTGGTTATGGGTCATCTTCATCTGCGCTTCAGGTTGAAGCCAAGGTCGTGGTTCTAGTTGTGCAAACTACCATCCAAGATAACATGACGAATGTCATCTTCGAATCTGATTCAACCTTTATGGTGAATAGTATTAATGGTGATAAACGGAAGGCCAACTGGTCTATTTTTCCTTTCCTCAGTCAAATTTGGAACCTTCATCACCGCTTTACTTCTTTTAAGTGGTACTGGATTCCTCATCAAGCAAACTCGGCAACTGATTAGGTTGTCTCGCATTGCAAACTAGGGATGTGTCCGGAAGGCTAGGTTCCTAGACCCCTATCCGCTCTAGTTTATATCGTTTCCATTGACGGCCTACCATGCCTCCACTAACGCTTTCTGAGGGTTTCGGTCCTTTGGGTGGTGACTTGAGCTTCGCTCTTAGTCTTCTATAACCAACCTGAGGTTCTCTTTCCCGTTTTTTGGGGGGGGGGGTTTATCTTACTGTTGGGGTTCTCAATCTTTTTTTGGGACCCTTTCCTTATTGTAGCTACTGCTTCTTAATAGAATGGTTTCTGTTCAGAAAAAGAAAAAAAAATGACAAAGGATGATTGTACTTCCTTGACATACAATAAATGATATCCCAACACACCATGAAGCCCCCAAGCTTTTTGGATTCACCATTTCGTGGATGTTTGAAACCTATGCAACATAATTGGCATTCTCATGAGTCATGATTGTACTTGCCAAATAAGAAGGAAATTTCGTACTCATTCTTGAATCAATAATCCATCATGAGACGTAAATATGAATTTACACTAATGAAAAAGATGTAAATTTGCGAACTATTTTTTTTTTAACTGGTAGGATTCATCTCCTAAAAGATGTAAATTTAAATTCTTATTTGCATTTTACATTTTCTTAAAACTTGTCTAATGAAGAATGTTTCGACCAACAAAAAATATAAAATGCTCATTTCAAAGCGTGAAAATACAACCAAGATATTTCCTATTTCGTAAAAACATTGTAGTTGTTGAATCAAATCTTGGAGAAACACCTCAGCTTGATAGGTTGTGTTTCGGAACAATAAAAATAAGCCTCGTGGTTTTCTACATTTTTTAATTAGAAATTAAAAACAGGAGCATCTCCAAATAAGATGTCAAAATACTAGGTGGAATGTTATTGTGCATATTTAACATAAAAAAGCTTTCCAACCGAAGTGTTATTTGCTGACTGGATTTAAAGGCTTTGTGATTAGGAGTCAAATTTGATATCAATGTCATATTTATTTTTAATTAATCTTAATGGTGGATCCTTTATGCCACTAACATTTAAAGCTTTATTTTAATAAAAAAAAAACATTTGACAATTCAGTTGGAGAAGTACAAAATTTGACATAAGAATGTTGCCACATGAGCCACCAATTATAATTTAACTGTTATAATTTGATATTTCCTTTAGGGATGGTCTTAACACCAAAAAAACCTTTCCTTTAAACTTTACCATTGCCTTTCTTAATTCCTTCTCATTGGTCGTAATTTTTTATTTCTGAATTCTTTTTTGTCGTCGTCAAAAGATCAAGAGAAAGCTCAAGATTGTAATCTTTCAATTCGTCCCTTGTCGTTTGAAAGAGTAAAACTTTGCCCTGCTTAGATTTCGAAGGAATCGTCCACGTTGCTTAAGATAACTATTAACATCTTGGGAATGAAATTAATGGTCTTGTTAACCGATTGGATTTAGGAAGTAATTTGTTCAAACAAAGAACCATGAATCAAATTTGTTTCTTTTAATTGATAGTAGCATAATTGAATTTCAGTAAACAGAATAATTTTGCACAGATTTACAAATTTACAGAGATGAGGGAGAGAGAGAAAGTTTAACGCCATTGTTGGGATGAAGTTAAAGTTCTTAGCTTATTATTTAAGGAAAACTAATGAAAAGGGCTTGAAAACTTTGACTTTTTAGTGTAAAAATGTGGTTTTTCGTTAAAGTGAACAGTACCATGGGCTTTTCGTTAAAACTCCCTATTATTTAATCATAAAATAGAAAGCCATGGCTTATTTTAATATTTTAATAGGAAAACTAATGAAAAAAAGTTTTAAACCTTTACATTTTAATCAAAAACCATACACTAAATTTTATTTAATGATAAGGACAAAAAATAAAAATAAATTAAAAACTTTAAAAATCCAAGTACGTTGAGCGCATGTCCCTCCCCCGCCCCCCCCCCCCCCCCCCCCAAAAAAAAGAAAAAAACTCTGTAACTCCAACTCGCCCTCCTCTGTAAACCCCATCCTAATCCCCTCTCCCACAATACCTATAGTCTATCCCTCCTTCACTAATACCACTAATTCCGCTACAAGATCACCTCCATCCTCCACTCCCTTTGCTCTTTACTCCTCGCCATCGTCAATTTTCGATCCCCCAACCTTTACAGAAAGCTTCGCCTACAACCCATCCGCCCAACACTTCATCGTTAGCTCCATCCACAAACGCATCATCCTCTCTGTCTCTGTGCCCCCTCCCACGACAAAGCCTAGCAAAACCCATACCCTAATTGCCTAACCTTCAAATCAAACCCAGTTTCCTCCGTGCCTCATTTTCTAGAAAGCCATAGCTTGATGGAACAAGGTTGCATAAGGGAAGGTTTGCCAATAATAGAAGGGAACAATATCAAATCAAATCAAGTCCATTAACTGCCTTTTTTTCAATACAAAGTGAATTGTTTGAGAAAATTGCAAATTTTGATTGGTACGGAAGGTTCTAGATGGTTGCTAACTCTGACTGTATTTTTATAAACAGTGTATTAAGTTTCATAAAAAGTGTAGTAAGTTTCATAAACAGTGTCGTAAGTTTAATAAACAGTGTAGAAAGTTTCATAAACAGTTTGTGCGCTTGTCAGAATTTTTTTTAATATTAAAATTATGTCTTTTTCATTAAAATTTAAGTTCTTTTGTCATTTTTATTAAAATTTAAGGGCTTTTCATTAAATTTTAAGTCTTTTTAATTAAATAAAGTTATAGCATGATTTTTTTATTAAAATAAACTTTGCCCAAGCCCTTTTCATTAAAGTTCCCTATTTTAATTGGTTTAGAACACCACGTCTTGCTGAAGTGTGTGTGCTCCTGACACATTGAAATTTTCTCCAAACCTTGCTTGAACCAACCAAACCAAATACGAAGAATCATTTTAATCACATACCAGTTTGGATGGAAAAATAATAATTTCATGCCAAATGTAGAACTTTGCCCAATTCCGCTCACCAATCTTCCCAAAAAAACTAAGTTCTTCCGTATCAACGGCTATGATTACCTTCCAAATCACTGGGCCATTGGTGAAATATTATAAAAACAACGTAAGAGGGGAGTATTCATTTCGGTTTCAAACCCTCGTGAGTGGCATTGACCTTCCCACCATATCTCTCCTCCTTAACCTCTCCTCCTTTCACATTCCGCTTCCCAAGCCCAAAGGGTAACCCCTCTCTCTCTCTCTGACTTGATCGATCACATCTCTCTTATTTTTTTTACATTTTATGTGGTGTTTAGACCTTGTATTTTGCGCTTAAGTTTCGGATTTCACATATGTAATTTATTGTATTTCTATTTTTGTTATAAACCATCAAAAGGGTGTTCAGATCTCTCCTTTTCTTTTGGGTCACTTGGATCTATCACTCTTCCCCCTTCCTCTCTCTGCATCGCATGTATCAACTGCTGTAAAAGGTATATATATTTGTTGAATGTATCTTGGGAACTTGTTTAGGGTTAGAGTCACGATTTTACACTTCCATTTCGTCTGTTCACGCTCCTTTCATGTTTTCATGCATTCTCATTATGTTCACCCAATTACTGATGAAGCACAAAAAAAAGCTGGATCAGGAGTGCCAATCTATAAAAAATAGTAGTGTAAATATTTTGCACCCTTTTTTATTCACGTTGTTGTTGGTATATGATTTGTCAATTGCTTTCGTTGGTTTTGAATTTTTTTTCTTTATAATGTAAATGCTTTCAAATAATTATTTTTTGGTTTTAACCTAGATATGCTTGTAATGTGTTTGATACATTGTTTACTCCTATCATTTTATGTGAAGTTTGGGATTTGATTATTTTTTTCCCTTTTTTCTTAATGATATAGTTTTCCTTTCACTTGCTTCTACTAATTCCTTTTATCTTATAATCAATCTTGTCATCGTGTTTGGAAATTCAGATTCAGTCAGTGTTATCAATGATTGTTTTGTTGGGAAATTGACTAAAATGATCATACAAATCCGGGTTATCGATCTGATCAATATCAAATGAACAGTGATCATTTCAACAATTGAGAATCTAAGATTTGTAAAATGATTATTTATTTATTTTGGAGTTGAAATGGTTGTTGTAAAACTTTTAAGCAACGAATTCCCAATATGATCATGTTAATTTCAAGCTGGAAATGTTGAGTTTACGTTGTTTTTATAACTTTTGATACAACAGATTGATTGTGATAGCTGAGAGTTAACAATAAGCAAATTGTCAACTGGTTCCTTTTTTATTTTTATATGATTAACATTGTTCATCAGTTGAAAATTGTTTCGGTCTTGTATATTTTTCAGAAAATTTTAATTTAGGGTTCATTGTTGTTGCGGATCTGTTAATCCTTTTAGAGTTTCAGTTATGATTTGTTCGATCTTTTGTAAATTTTTTTTTTTTGTGGAAACATTGTAATCTATATTTTGCATGATATTTTCCCTTGTCCTCCTTTCTGACTACAAGATTGAATGAGTTTGCAGGTGTTTCATTCATTTCTAAGTAATGGCTGATAGGCGCCAGCACCCAACTATCACGGAAAAGTTTTCGGGTCAGCTTCATCTGAGTTCCAGCCACTATGGGGCCATCCAGCGGCCTTCCGTCAATCAAAGGCGTTTTTCATATGGAAGTTATTCAAATGCAGTATTGCAATATCCCATGAACCAAGCATGTCGAGCTAATGATCCGTTGGTGGCTTCAGGTGCCTTGCCTGTGTTTGTCCAAGCCCCAAAGGAGAAAGGATTTTCGGGCTTTGCTATTGATTTTCTAATGGGTGGCGTTTCTGCTGCTGTGTCCAAGACTGCTGCTGCTCCAATTGAGCGTGTAAAGCTCTTGATTCAAAATCAGGATGAGATGATCAAAGCCGGTAGGCTCTCTGAACCCTACAAGGGAATTGGAGATTGTTTTAGCCGAACAATGAAAGATGAGGGGATGGTATCATTGTGGCGAGGAAACACGGCAAATGTCATCCGTTACTTCCCAACTCAGGTCTGTCTTTCCACATATTCCGAGTTCTATAACTACGTCATCTTTTTCTCGCTCTCAGTCTCTTGTATCTTTGAGTCTTACTGCAGTGTACTTACATTGGTTTGTCTTTGTTCAGGCCTTAAACTTTGCGTTTAAAGATTACTTCAAGAGGTTGTTCAATTTCAGAAAGGACAAGGATGGCTACTGGAAATGGTTTGCAGGTAACTTGGCATCCGGTGGTGCTGCTGGTGCCTCTTCTTTATTCTTTGTCTACTCTTTGGATTATGCTCGTACCCGTCTTGCAAACGATTCCAAGGCCGCAAAGAAGGGAGGAGAGAGGCAATTCAATGGCCTGGTTGATGTCTACAAAAAGACTCTCAAGTCAGATGGTGTTGCCGGCCTTTACCGCGGCTTCAACATTTCTTGTGTTGGAATCATTGTGTACCGTGGTCTGTACTTTGGAATGTATGATTCTTTGAAGCCTGTGATCCTCACTGGAAAGTTGCAGGTAAGTGGATTGCTTGTGTACCAAGTCATATTTCCACTGTCCATATACACAAACTTATGGGGATTATCTCACATTTTTTTCGTTTTTTTTTTTTTTTGGGAAATTTCAGGATAGTTTCTTTGCTAGCTTTGGTCTTGGTTGGGTTATAACCAACGGCGCCGGACTTGCATCTTACCCAATTGACACTGTCCGTAGAAGGATGATGATGACATCCGGTGAAGCCGTCAAGTACAAGAGCTCGCTTGACGCTTTCTCTCAAATCCTTAAGAATGAGGGTGCGAAGTCTCTCTTCAAGGGTGCCGGTGCCAACATTCTTCGTGCAGTTGCTGGTGCCGGGGTGCTTGCAGGTTACGACAAGCTTCAGGAGATCGTGTTCGGAAAGAAGTATGGGTTCTGGTGGAGCTTAAGTTCATATGAACCTACAACTCCACCCCCATATAGCTACAGATATTTGATTTGGAACTAATGGGATTCTCACTCAATAACCTAGTTTTAGAGGATTTCGTCTCCTAAACACTATTCAATCATATTCCGGGAGTTTTGTTTGTATTATCCTGGCTGTAAGAGTTGTTGCAAGCTTCTACTGGTAAATGTTTAAGCTCTATTTTGGCGATATTAGGGTTAATAAAGGAAAGAAGCAAATATTTGGAAAGCCAATCCAGAGATTTCATTATGTTTGGAACAAAAGACGGTACGCCATATATTATTATACAAATAGAGGAATTATTATTTTTTTTTCAAATATCCCTCCACATGTGTAATGATATATGAAATATGGCGTATATGCTTGTATTCCGGGCACACTGATAAATCTCTCCGCAGCCCAATTGGGACACAAGTGGAAGAGCCAACTTTTGCTTTGGTTGCCAAACGTAGGCAGACAAAAAGAATAAAGAATATATGTGATTACTTGTCCTTGACTTGTCTTGCACGCCAGGTTTGATTCTGTCCCTCTATCCCTCATTCATGTCACATGCCTGCCAGCCCCCAGCCTTTGTCTCTCATGGCAGACCAAAAGCTAAAAACGATTAATTGGACAGAGAGACCACAACTACAGTGGAACAGTAATCCTTTCTCTCCCATTTGGTTGAAGCAACACAAATCCTGCGATCTAGCTACAGTACTTACAACTACTTAATATTATTATGTGGCGATTTAATTTATTGGGTCAATCGCATGTATCAAAAGATCTTGTTTTTGACCATAATGCCTTGATGTTCAACCCTTTATTCCACCAAATAAATACATATGTTCGACCCTTATTCTATTATTCTAATACGAATATATTATGTTTGACCCTTTCCTCGACGTCGTATTTGAGTTTGTAAGATGCCCAAAGGATTATACTAGAGTTTGGGAAACTTGAACCAAAATGGTATATAGGTGGTGAAATTGAAGTAATTTCATACATATTTCAACCAAAAAATGAAAAAAAAAAAAAAAAAAGGTTGAAAATTGCATCGCAGCCGCAGCCGAGAAAAGTCAAGTACAAGTTCCTTGGTGGCAACAAACAATCATCACAAACTTTTGCATGCTCCATTTATAGTATAGTTTATTTGTTGAATCAGGTGTCAAAAGGGTACCAACCACCCCACCAATAATAACATCAAAACTTGTAGTGGGCCCCCACACTCCTTTCACATCATCCAGGAGTTTTTACTCACAAGAAAGCCAGAAGAATCTTCGTTGCTGGATCTCTTCTTGAAAATTTTGAAAATCTTTCAATCACATCTGTTTATCATAAATTGTGCAATTATAAAGCATTAAAGACAAATTTGATGTTCGATTATGTTCGATTATCGTCAAAGACGAATTTAAACCATATTATTATTAACTCATCGTCAGATTAAACTCACATTAATATAAATAAATCGTTCGTACAAAAAATAAATTTTTTTGAATCAAGCTACACAAATAGTTAATCAAGACAAACTCACACCGAACTCGTAATTTGTAAAAGTCGACTTAGGAATACAACAAGTTGAGTCATAACGAACCTCGACTGAGACCAACTTCCTTTCGGGGGGTTGGGAGTCGGATGGTTTTGGTGATCTATCTTCAACCAAATTAAAGGTCCCATTTTTGTAATGGCAAATTTGGCAAGCCAACCACTCATTGCAATCCCAACCAGAATCTTGGATTTGGATCATTTGGTTCGACTTCTGTGGAGCCCATGCTTCAAACTTCACCGAGTTCGGTGATCAAATGTTTCGCCTCTCGTTTTTTAATTCTTATTTATTTACTTCAAATACAACGCATTCACATCACATAATAAGAAACTAAGAATAGAGTTCATTTGTAAATTTGTATTCATGTGATTTGAAGGTGGCATTTTTAGACATGATACAATAAATCAATTCGGAAAATACAACGGGTTCATGTCAATAATAATCACGTCGATCCATTTGCTATGAATTAAACAATTCGTGTTTTGGATAAATCCGCCTAGCTTGAAATTACATGCTTTATCACGTTTATGTAATTGTGTAAGCTGTTAATGCATATGCGAACCATATATAAAATGATAAGTTTAGCCTAGGGCTGTAAATTAGTATGAAAGAGCTCGAACTTATAATGGATTTGGCTCGTTAAAGAAACAAGGAAAGCTTAGTTTGACTCGATTAAAAAACAGGTCAAGCTTCTCATGAGTAGTTTGTATTTTTTTTCATGAGATAAATTCAACTAGAGTGTAGACTTAAAACTGCTTGGAAAGAAGGAACATGTGTGAGATTTTTTATTTTCATTTTATTGATAGAGATGGGAGAGAAAAAAGAGTTGGAGTATTGATTGTTAAACTTTGATCATATAATCTCAAACGGAGGAATACAATTAAAATTCAAATTATTATCGAGAGAGAAAATGCAAACCCAAATTTATAAAAACCACTAATCCAAATTATTAGCGGGAGAGAAAATTCGAACCCAAATTCATAATATAAACTAGTCCACTCGAGTAAATGTGAAACGTCTACCGATTAATTTTAAAAGAAAATAATTACAAAGAAAACGAAGGAAAAAGGCGGATAATTTCCTTGGGTGGGTGGGGGCGGAGCCGAGCAGTGGATAAAGAGTAAAAGCAACGGTTAGAGCAGCAGCAGAGAGAGAGACGATTGTGTTGGCATATGCCGCGCGACAGCAGATCCCAATCTCCTCTCGTCAAACGGACATCGCGTGTCACTGAAACCACTGCATAAAGCCACGGCAGTCACTCGGGATTCTCTCTCCTCCTCGCCCTTACTAAATACAGCACCATCGTCCTCCCTGAACCTAGAGAGAGAGAGGGGCACAGAGCAAAGCAGGAAAGCCATTTCCTTCAAGCAGAAGCAGAAGCTGGAGACCAAGCGCTTCTGAGGAGAAAAGCCAGCAATGTCGGTTATTTGATCCCTTGAGAATCTCAATCTCTTTCAGTGTTTTTATTCATTTCGTTTGGTTAGCTTGCTCTGATCCGTTGATGCATTCTAAACTCATTTTCCGTCGCGTTTTCTCGGATTTTCTCTGCTGTCCGGCGTTTGGTTTTTTCTTGATTTGGTGATTAGGTAGATTTGGCGGGATTCCTTTTGCGTTTGGTTGCCGAGAAAGTTGATAGGAAAAGTAGAGGAAATGCTATGATATTATTATTTCTAATTTTTGGTGTTTGGATCAAATTATTAGTGATTTCGTATCTAAATTTGTTACTGTTTCGGAATAATGAATTTCTTTCTAGCTAATCTGTAAATTAAAACAGTCTGGTTGGAATCGGCAGTTTACATTTTGTTGTGGTCATAATGCTGCCTGGGTTTCGAAAGCGATTCGTTTCCTTTTAATCCATTTGTTTTGTTTCTGTCTGAACGAAAAACTTTCCATTAGAGAGTTACCAGAAGGAAAATTTCTGCGCAAATGACCGCGGAAGCTTCCCAATTAAGTACAAGTAAACGGTTATCTCTATTCATTTTTAGTAATAAATTTCTGGTAATTAATCGAGTTTAATCCTTCCCAGAGATAGATGAAATGGAGATTAATAATTTCACAAATCTGCTTAGATCCACCAATGCCGGTTGAAATATGAAGATAACGGAAACTATATGGATTTGGAACAGCTTCGATTTCATTGTTTCAACCATCTGGCATTCTTAAACTCTGGATTTATGTTCTCTGGCTGTTGATTTGTAACTCTTGATTTTTCATCTGGGATGAGTTTTTGATTGTTCGTTTTGATTTGCAGGTATTTCTGTAAGTGTGAAACTGATATTGGGTGCTAGAATTTGTCGAAAGATCAGGTTTACATCTCTCCTGATTCGTTTTATTTATGAACCTTACGGTCTATTCATCATTGTAAAATATTCATTTCTTGTATTCTCTTTGTGCCCTTTAGATTGCTCGTCTGTCTTGCGGTTTTTAAAAATGAGTTGGGACCCGAACATGGAAGTTCATTACACCTACACCAGCTGTCCTTATAGCTCAGCGGGTAGCTTTATGGAGTATTTTGAGGGTCTTACCTATGAACATGTGAACTTTATTTTTTCAGGCGATTCGCATGCTCAGGTACTTTACCTTAAATATCTGCACAAATGTGTTCTTTTTCAACCACCAACTTGGTGATTTGTTTAGTTAGTCATTATGTTTCCAAATTTTAGATCTGTAGGATTGCTGACTTCATTGAAAAGGAGTTTATATGGGTTCCCATGATAGGATTGCTTTAAGACATAAGTAGCGAGTTGTTGTTTGATGTTCCACCATTATTAATCCAAATTTTGAACCTTGGAATGTTTATCTGTATTTCATCTATTTCAATTTCTTTCAATTTCAATTTCCTTCTCACATGTGTAGGAGAGTGCTTACCCAACAATGAATACAAATTATTACAAGTTTGGGTTATCGGAACCTGGGAATACTTCATCCTATGATCTTGGGTTTAGTCATGCTTATGAGATCAATGATCCTGACCCAAGACGTGGTGAACAAAGAAGGCATTTGCAGAGCGCTTCAACAATGACTAATGAACAGAATGTGGCAGTGAACTCAGAATGGGAAGGAAATGCAAATACTTCTACAGGCGACAACCCCATAGAATGTAAGTTCTTAGTGTTGCTTTTCTTCTGTCTTTTCTTGGGGTGGGCAAGGAGGCTGCAGTTCTTCATGATTATGCTCTGCAGTTTTCTCTTTTCTGGTCCTATGTGAGAGGCCCTGAAGACTGGTAAAATAATTCGCATTCTCTAATGTTATTATTTTTTCCTAAGTTGTGGATTAGAACATTACAGGGCCTGGAGGGCCTGGTGACATAGAGAATAAGTAATCTTAGTGAAGACTTATAGAGTTGGATGAAATACATTATACCTCTAGGGAAGAAGAAGATAAGAATTAGGTGTTTTATTGTTATAAAGTTTGTCATTTTTCATATTGTTGCCTAGGTAGCAGTCCGGTAGCACCCCCGTGACTGTTTATTATAAACTTATGTTTAAGGACTGCATATTATAAACATGTTTCTGATTGAAGTTGATGGTGTGGCTGCTATTTGCTCCTCCATTTCTATACTCTTTGCTTCCAATGTATTTGGTCTGTTCTGAATCACTTCTTTACACTTGACACTTGAATATTTCCTATCAATCTAAGTATCATCATTTACATTTCAGGCCCACGGAGACATCAAAATTCCCATGATCATCAGGTATTTAGTTTCTTCATATTCTGGGTCTTTCTCTAAATGTATTTATACATATAACTATGAATGCATTCATATATGCATATGTGCAACACATGTGCACACGGGCACCTATATTGGGGCTGAGTAAATTGGCTTAACATGAATGGAAGTATATGAGTATACCATCACAGCCTTGGCAGGCTTATTCCTGGTTCCAGTGATTTCAAAAACCACAGATTACTGGGAAATTTTTACTCTACATCATTATCATATTCAAACTTTTATGTGAAACAAAATGAGCTCAATAGATTACTAAGTTGGAGCATTTTCTGTGAAATATGCAGGTTATTTGGCAAGACAACATTGATCCTGACAGCATGAGTTACGAGGTTAGAGCTAACTGCACTTTGTCCTCCTGAGAATTTGGATAATACAATTATATTATAATTTCAAGTAATATGTCTTATCTGTTGATTTTCTGTTTAACATTTATCTGGATTATGTATTGTTAAGATTTTATAGTAACAAATGGATACACTAGCCATGTTTTATGGAATAAATTCCATCTGTGCCTTGGAAATTTAAATTGTGTTTTTCTGTACGTTTTCTTGATGTACATATTTACTTCATTGTTTGGAGGAGTGCTTGTGTGCTAAACAATCATTGCACGACTCCTTCTGTAATTTCTGTTCTTAATGAGGAGATTCTTGCAAATTTCTTAGTCTCTGATTCTTTGCTTTTCTATCTCTCAACTGCACAAATTTCTGTGTGGCACTGCGCATATTGTAGAATTCGAATTTTGTTGTCATTGATTTAAGTGCATTGTTGTAATTATAGGACGATTGGCCTCATATTATTTGGCAAGTGTTGCCCTTCTACTCTGGTGGAATTTACTTTTAAAGCATTCACGTGTATAGACTGATTTTGAATTCAATTCTTTTAAGTTGGATTGCTCAATTATTTGAGCCCACTGGAATAGAAGTTTGTTGAGCATATCATATTCCTGGTTAAGTGTCATCAGCTTTAACTTGTGGATGTGATGTTGGATCTGGCAGAATTGTCTTCATGGTGGGGACCTTACTGTATAATCGTTAGTGAGTGAATCTCTAAAGCAGAACAGGGTTCTTGAGTTGTGAGGGTAGTTTTATAGTTGTATGCCTGTAATGTCTTGTGTTGTATGGGAATCTGCTACTTACTAAAAATCTTTTATTTGGAATACATGTTACTGACAATGTTCTTTACGTTCAGGAATTACTTGAGTTAGGTGAGGCAGTTGGAACTCAAAGTCGAGGTCTCTCCCAAGATCAGATCTCCTTGCTTCCAATCTCAAAGTACAAATGCAGCTTTTTCTCGAGAAAGAAATCACGAGACGAGAGGTATAGATTGCCTTTATTTATTGTTCTTTTGAAAAACTGTGATTACTCTCTCTCTAAAGAAATCACGAGACGAGAGGTATAGATTGCCCTTATTTATTGTTCTTTTGAAAAAATGTGATTACTCTCTCTCTCTCTCTCTCTCTCTCTCTCTCTCTCTCTCTCTCTCTAAATTCCGGTTTAATGGAATCTCTCTTGGTTAAATATAGAAATAGGAAGTTTAACATCTACTAATTTTTGCAAGAACAACTTTTTCCCTTGCTCAAATCTCAAGAATAGAAAAGGAACTTGTTTTTGCTGTTTTCATTAGTATGGTGGTCTGTAGAGAAGATGTAGAACGCTGATTTCTTGGGGAGTGAAGGTAGGTATCATAGGTTGTATGATTAATATGAGTCTCGAATGGTTCTTTCTGCACAAGGCTATAAAATGTTGGGATCATTTTTACGTTAGGATATTGAATTAAAGTGGACATGACTTTAGATTTTTTCATATATTGGCGCTGTGGAGCGTAAAAGTAAGGACTTGATCTTCAGCTGCATACTTCAGTGACCTACTTGGGTCTTAAGAAACTTGTGGTTTTCTTCAGAAAATATACAGAGAAGCAATATTGGATATGAATCATAGGATTGAATCTGGTAAAGTTAATGGTTTCAAATCGGTGAATATGCATACTGGTGAGTATACTTTTCAATTTAATTCCCATTCCCTATTAAAAGTGCTCGGGATCTTTCTGTGCTTACTGCCGACAGGCCTTTCATCCCATATGCACTTTAGTTGCACCGGAAAATAATTTAATTTGGTGTGGACTTGTAGCTCCTCTGAAACAACAGTTTTATATTGTAATATCCATATCTCCTATAAGCAGCTTTCTGTGTATACTTTTTGCAGTCATATTAACTTGTAGTCCCTTGTTGCACGTAGATGTGTGATTTGCCAGATGGAATATAAACGAGGGGACCGGCGGATTGCTCTACCGTGCAAACACCTCTATCATGCTGGTTGTGGGACCAGATGGCTTAGCATCAACAAGGCAAGCAGTTTTTTCTTTCTTAAGATGAATATATTGGTTTTTAGAATCTATTGGATTTGTTTTAGCAGTGACTCAATTCAGCTGACACTATTTCTATTATCAGGCTTGCCCAATCTGTTACACCAAGGTGTTTGGTGACGCGTCAAAGTGCGCAAAATAGGCCTGATGAGCTTAAAGAAGGGAGCCTTGAGAGTTTTTCTTCAAATTTGGATAACAGAGGTGCATGTTTGCTTCATTTTCCCACCTTGTTTGTAGAAGCATTGTGTTAGCTTTTCTAATAAATGAAAATATTACGAAGCGAAGAATTCTGATAATTAGATCGTGTCGTGGCTTTTCGAGGAGTTTCATCCTTTTGTTATATATATAGTTTCACAGAACTCTCGTAAACTCCAGGATCGGCTCATAACATGTGGTGATTTCCTAATGTTAGACGATTGCAGTGGAGCACAAAAATGGTCTTGTAAATATGGAAGGTAGTTGCAGTACGTATAGTTTCCCTTCCTCTTATTTCTGCATGCTGCACTTTTCCTTTGTATTGTGTTGGGTAGCAACAATCTTTGAGTTTTGCTCCATAGAATTGAATGTTATGAAAGGTATTATTCCTATTCTCACATTAAAACCCACCTCGAAGTCGCAGGCACTCGTATTGTGCTTGTTTTACAACACATTATCAACACGAAATATGTAGAAATTTTGGACAAGAGTATATAAATGTATAAACGAGTGGCTTAGAGAAAAACCGTGCTCAGATAAGACCACATGAGAAACTGCAGTGAAGGAAAAAGAGCCATACACGCCCACGTAAAAGCTCAAGCAACAAGGAATGAGAGTGTACAAGGAATTTCTACCTTTCGTAAAGAGGGCGATGTGCTCTAAGATATGATTTTGGAATCGTCGTTCAAAGTGTTTGAATATGATTAAGAGTTTCGATCATATTCATGAGAATCATATGTACTTGAGATTTCACATTAAGGGATCAACACGGATTTAGTGCACTAGTAATGCGATTAAGCATAATGAATTAGTGAGAGATTGTATTGCATTGCTGTTCCAACTAAATATGTTCTCTACCATTCTTCCTAGCTTAGATAACAATGATATACTACAAGGAGTCACTCTTAGTTTGTGGGAGCCGTGAAAATTAACCATAACAAGTTCTCATAGAATGGAGAATTTGAAATGATTTTAAATTTATCATCGATTAGTCAGAGTTCTAATTGCTTAAAACCTAACTAAATTAGAACCTACTGGATCACACGCTCATAAGCTTAAGTTTGAAAAAATCAACGTAGATGGTAAGTTAATTAATTTGGGTTAATTAGATCCTTAGCTTAGTTAAAGATGTTAATTAACACTAATTAAGTTATTCAAAAAATTACAAGAGCATATGATGCTGAAATGGGCCTTAAAGTTAGTTTTGAGTTTCTAGGCTCATTGGGCTTTTGGTGTAAGGTGGGCATGATAACTTATAACAAATGGCCCAAATAGACCCATGACAAGGAAAAATTGCACATTAGACCATCTCCAAGGGATGTGTCAAATCCTAAGTGGAATGTCATAAAATCAAATTGAAGGTACAAAGAAACTTCAACTGATATGTCAATCCTACATGGATTGACATATGAGCCTTTCGCTTTTCATAATACCACGTCAAATTACAATTTTACCCATGCATTTAAAGGACATTTAATGAAAAATCATTTTTGGGCTAAATTTCCTGACGGATTTTACTAGTGTTTAAATCTGAATTATTTTACCATAAATGCTATCTTTTGAATCTCTTATCACCATATAGACTATTTATCTGATTTGGCCATTTAAAATTAATAAAGAAAGAAAAGGTGGGTGGGGAATGGGGATTGGTGAAGGAAGGGAAGGGGAGATGAGAATGAATGGAATGGGAAGATGCGAATGAGCTTTCTGTGTTTAAGTATAAACAGACACTTATTTACACAAAATATAGCAGATTTACTTAAATCCGCCTAGGTGGCCGACTAGCTGCCTAGGCGCTAGGCTCCAGCTCGCTGCCCTACTAGCGCCTAGCGTCTTTTAGAACCTTGATTTTGCCCATACATTTAACAGACATTTAATTAAAAAATTACTTTTGGACTAAATTTGTAAACGGATTATACAACAAGGGTTTGAATTCAAATTTTTTTTATCACAGAATCTATCTTCCGATTACCTTATAACCACATGAAACATCAGTTCAATTTGACCATATTAATCTAAATTGATCGTTTTTGGAAGCTCATTTTCTGATGTTCAAAGTACAACAAAACATTAATAAAAATCAGAGAAGTGGTCTTTTAGTAAATCTCCTTCAATATACTTATATAGTCAATTTATTAAGTTTCTTTGTTGCCCGTGGCACTTTTAGCAGTCAGATTATTTTACTAATACTGGATTAAGGAAATATTACTGAAAATTAGTAATGTGGAATAATGCTGTCCCGACCATACGATTACAAACAACGAGAAAAAGGCACCGACAGGTTTTAAGTCTCAGACTATCGACCCTTCGTCGCGTTGATCACCACCTCACACTACAAGTTGATAATATGGATTGCATATTTTTTTTTTTAATAAAAGATATTATCTATATTAAGAGGGATAAAGTTAAGCTTAGTCTCACAATAGGCTATTAATAATGTGGTTCAAATTTGCATTTGGCGAAAATCGAACCTAAAACCTTGCACTTACAAATGAAGAGGAATACTACCATACAAATAAAGAGGAATACTACTTGACCATACTACTAAGTAGCATATGGATTGCATCTTATCTTGTTGAATATAATTCGAACTTTAGAAAAGTGCATTTATATTTAAAAATTGTATTTATCAACTTTTAAGTGCGTCATTTAGTATTACAGTTTAAACATATTTTTCTTCTTTTGTAAATGAAAAAATGTCAGATATGACTTAGGTTGAGGACAAATTAGAATTAAAATATTATGGTTAGTTGACTTAGCACATCTCCACTCTTTGATTAGTATAAATGGAATGAGGATCCTGAAAATCCTCAAATCCTGTCCGTTCATCGTACATTGTATAGTCAAAAATCATTTTAAATATTTTTATTTTAAATTAAATATGAATAATACTTGATGAAAACTGACCTACGATTTGAGAATTTCCACGATCCACATAAAGATGGTTTGTATTGAAAGGACAAAATGAAACCTTGTATTTGTGCAATTGCGTTACAGCTCCTTTACCTGCTTAGAATCATATAAAATTTTGCCGTTTGCACGTTCTTCATCTAACGGTATTCGCAGCCAAAATACCTTTACTTTTTGTCAAATCATTTTGGCCTATTGTTTATTAAATTGAGGGTATATTTGTCATTTTGGTCCTTATTTAACATAATTTTGCACAGAAAGACTAAAATGATTGATAGTGGATGTGGATGCAAATTTCTTCCTCCTTGATCTTGGACAATTTTGCACCTACAAAACAATTAACACCTTAGGTTAAGGCCAAGAGCCTCACGCGCCCACGATGAATGGGGGGGGCTTTGGCCGAAGAACCTCCGATGCCAAAGTTAGAATTTAGAGAGAAAGAGTGTTTAGAGAATTTTGGGATTTTTGCCAAAGTGTTGGAATGAATATTTGGTGAAAATATGAGCCTATTTATAGGGCTAGGTTGGTTTAGGTTTTATTTTGGTTTAATTAGCCAATTAATTGGCTAATTAAACATAAAAGGAAATATTTTTGTGGTTATGGAATTAATTGGCTAATAAAAAGGAAGAAATGGTGAAAAAAGGTAGAAAAAGTGATGAATTAGGTTTTGAATGGGGATAGCCGGCCATGTGGTGTTTTAGGGTTGAATTGGATGTATTTTGTGGTTATTTGGATATAATGGATGGTTTAATTGACAATTAATGGGTTAATTAGGCAATAAACCCATTAATTAGCCAATTAACATAATTTAAAAGGAATGTGTTTGGGAATTACCTTGTAGATAGAATTTGATGAGATGGACTTTGAATTGTTACCTATTTTGGGCACTTCTGTCTTGGTTGAAAGAGGGTTGCCCGCTGCTTGCGCGTAGGAACCTCGTTGTACTGCAAGGGTATTTTTGTCCTTTTTGTCCAAAAATCCACGTGTCGCCTTGTGAATATTTTTGGCTCCACAAATGCCCCCACACTTGTTGAGCTGCTCGCAGAAAAGGGCAGCAGGTGTAAAGATCTTCTTGCTTTAGGAAACTTATGACTGCTTCCTATTTTGATGTAGATTCCCTCTTTAATAGGAAATTAGATCCTTCTAGGAAAGGGAAATAAATTTCTCTCAAAGCCTATTTAAGTCCACCTTAAGTGGGTTATTAAATCAACTTTGGAGAGCGATTTATTCTACCCTACAAGAGAGAGATAGCTTAGAGGATATTTGTTCCCCCTCCTCTAGCAATCTTCTACATCTTGCCCGTGCAAAGGACCGTCTTTCGTTGTTTTCTTCGTCTTCTTCGTGCCACACTGAGGTAAGAAAAAATTAATTTTCCTTGTCTTCTTCTTGGATGGTGCTACCTCGGGGCAGCTGTCGGGGTGGTGCGGCACGTCGGCTGGCATGGGCCAGGAGTCAGCTCGGCATGGGCCGATGAGGTATTGTGGCAAGGACAACTGCTTTAAGCGGCTCGACTTGGCTAGAACCAATGGCAGCTTGTATGGCTGGGGCCACGGATTGTGGCGCTGTGGCGCAGTGCTAAGCGAGTCACATGGCTCATGTCTTTTTGGGCTTTTGGACATGACGCGAGCTAGGCAGGTGACTGAGAGAAATGAAGAGGTTGCGGGCCTCATGAGCTGCTGGAATGTTGGGTTGAACTCCCCTGCTGGGTAGCACGAATGACGTTGGCTACTTTAACTCTCTTCGTCAGGAGAAACGTGGGATGCTCCCAAAATAAGAGGTGAATAGGATCAAGGCGGATGCATTGGCTCGTCCAATCACCGTTATGGATCCTGCTGCAAGTGAAGGTGGGAAAATGGATCTTCCCTGCCTGCTCAAGAGATGCCGGCTGAGAAAAAACCAAAGACTTCTTTCGCTGCTTATGCAAATGATGAAAAGTTGATTGCTGCTTATAATCAAGTGATCCACTTTAAGAGAATCGTCAATAGGCTTGAACCCCAAGTGTTGAAACTTCAAGGTGTACTGAAGATCAACGAAAGTTTGAAGAAAGAAGTGGATGAGCTACAGCGCGTCCATGTTGGTATTGGTGAAGTAGTTGGAGAAGTTGGTGCCCAGGCTAGCAGTCAGGGGTGATGCCGCTGCTAAGAGCTTCGCGGCTGCTGAAGGTGTGGCGACCTAATAGTCGTGGGATGTCCAGGCTGCTAAAATGTAGTCATCTAGGTAGCCTTTAAGATTTTCTTTGTTTTTCCTTGTAGCTCTTGTTTTGCTTGAACTCCTTCGGCCTTTGCTAGTCATTTATAAACATGTTTTCCTTAGCTTTTCTTCATTTTTGCTTCTTTTGTTCATGCCCTAACCTTTAGACTTGATAGACTAGTGGCAAGCATGCTACTTTTTTATAAGCAGACAAGCTCGCGTAGCCTATGCAGCCGTATGTGTTGGTGTAGAACTTTGCAAAGTTGTTAGCCATTGGGTTGGCAGCCGGATGCCTTACTT